TTTTTTTGTTTTTTTTTCTTTAAAATGGGGGGTTTTTTTTTTTTTTTTTTTTTTTTTTTTTGCCATGTGGTCAGTTGTCCAGGGCACCATTAGAGAGGATACATAAGCACTGATTTAAAAAAAGACATATCAGTAGCACCTTGAAGTACTATTCCATTTTTTTTGGATGTGCACTGCTTACTGCTGAAAATAGAGGAACTGTATGATGTATTTTATGTTTTGACTACAAAGCCATCCCAACTCATACTTCAAATTTCCTACATTTTGAATTGTTGGGGGGCAGATAGAATTGGGCTCGCCCAGGGTAACATTTATGCTAGAACTGCCAGTGTTCCTGGACCATTCTTTGATTTGATGTGTGGACAAATCTGTTCAGGTTTTTCTTTTTTTTTTCTTTTTTTATATGTGGATTACTTGGGTTATAATCTGCACTTAGTGTAAGCTTCTAAAATAACCATCAAAATATATTTACTGTTAAAAACATTGTCATGATCAATACTGATTTCCCACAGTATAAGAGTCCTTCAATACAATCTACCCCGTCTTCTTTGTCTTACACTTACACTACGACTACATTGTTTTTCCATTCAGCAGTTAAGAGGAAATAGTTTGAATGCCTTTTTTCCAGCTCTCCCACCACAGCTATTTGGCAGATACAGGGAACAGACTGCTGTCTGGAAAATAAGGGAAGAAAATTGCAGACTGGCTGATACTCAGGCACAAAAAGGTTTTAATTCTCTGCCTAAAGACTTTTTGATTCATAAGTACAGATGATTTGCAGCTATAAGGATAATTTCAGCTAAATTATTCTTGTTCACCCACTGGGGAGCGGGTTTAACTTACTACCCATGTCTTGATTTTAACAAAAATGAAAGTTTCCACATAGAAATCACACCAATCTTTTCTTTGACAGGTATTTTGGAAACATTACTAGGCAAAATCTACATTGCATTTGCTGGCAGTCGCCTTAAAAAGCGGGGGGAAAAACAAAAGAAAAAAACATATCTTTGTTTCAGCTTGATAGTTTGTCAGTACAGCTAGGCAGACAAGAGGTTGAACTTGCTGCCTCGGGTCGAGTCTAGACTGCAAACAGCACACTGCGTTTTCAAGCAGCTCAGTGAAAACGATCACCATGAATGACAGCAGATAGACTCATTCAGGCCCTGTGATGGAGGAAGCGTGGAAATCGTCTATCTTTGTCATAGCAGGAGAGGAGGTGGTTGAGGGGGAGTGGAGGGGATGGGGTGGAGGGGAGAGGGGCAGGTAGGGACAAGGCAAAAGGGGGGATGGGGAGAATAAATGGAAATCAGCAAGAAGCACACTGAAGGTTAGGATAAACACTATATTCTTTATTGAAAAATATTAGTATATGTGGAATTTGTGTATTTTTTTTCTTGTTTGTTTGTAATAATAGTATAAAACCATGCAACAAAACTAAACAACATAGATTGAAGGCAAGGCCCACCATGCTCCATATAGGGTTAAAAAAAGAACAAAAGCAGCATCCAATGAGCAGACGTGTTGGCTACAGCACATGATTTCAGTACAGCAAGGGTACATCTTTACTACAGAAAGATTACATTGGATTTTCACTAGTCAATGTAGAAAAAACATAAACAAAAATAATTATGAATCATAAATGTGACCATGCACTGAAAGTACTATTACCAGAACAAAAGGTAAAGAGAGACCACAACCAAACAATAAAGACGTTATTAATAATAAGAGGATCTCTTTAGCAGTGCAGGAAAAAATAGGCATCCCTGTGAAATGGATAGCATTTTGGTTTTATGTTAGTGGGGTAAATTTGAAAGTGATGAACCACCAGTAAGCATGTTTTCCAACTTCATATTGAAAAATTTAATATGCCCACAAAGGGCCCTGACGATTCAGTGTGATTCAAAGCTTGAAATTTTGCAAAAGGGAACAAAAAGATTGCACAAAAAATGGAGACAGTTATGATAGGTTGCTGTGTGCAGGTGCAGTGTACCTTAAGTCACATGGCAGGAGGAAATTGCATGCACATGGTTCCAATTTGCATATCTGCTTTGTCAATCGCAGGTCGGTTTGATAATGTACATTGCACCTTGTGTGAAGAGAAGGAGGATGAGCCAAATTCTGGTGTTCAATAATGCAAGTGCAGTACTTTGAGATCATGCAAAATGTATCCACTTTACAGGAATTTACAGCATGTTGTCTAACAAGACTGGATGGGAGGTACACAATGACATTCAACTGATATCTAGAAAGGAGCTATAATGTTTACTCAGTGCTACAGCAATTTGACAGAAAAAAAGACAAAACAAGGTGCTGTGTTCTAGGTGTTAGCTATAGTTTTAGTCTGCTTAACATGAAACAGTCTATAGCTGAATACATCTCGGGAAAGGGTGCTTTTAATACCAATGTCGTCTTCTGATGGAAAGAGGAAATGAAGAAGGGATTCACAATACAGCTAAATGCAGAGAACAGGCAGAGGCCACGCCACACCACACAGCAGCAGATGATCATTAGCTACACAATGGGGGGACGACAAAGATCTGATAAATGCAGAATGTAGAGCCAGCCTCCATACTATGAAACAGGGAAATAAGAACAGAAATAAAAGCACAATGAAATCACTGATGCCACTGTTGTAAAATTAATGTTACACTGTAGCTTTATAAATGCATCTCTGCTATGTGAGCGCAGATTTGGGTTATGTTTGCAGCTCTGCAGCTTCAGACAAGCAGCTGCTGGATTGCCAATTAGCAAATCAAAAAGAAACGGCGGACAGGGCTGATTGATCGGATATCTATGCTCTCTCCACGCATTGATTTGTACGCTGACCAATTAACACTGGTAGCAATTAGCCGAATCGTGGTGTGAAATCTGTTAGCGCCGGCAGGAGCGGATGATCTTCAAATGACATCATCCAGGCACAGATAAGCTGACTGGCTGAAGAGGCTACGTCTATTTTGCGGTATTTTAACACTGCAAATACGCGACAGAGTAGCTCTCGCAAATTAAATAACAAGCTGAAGACAAAAAAACTATTGATAAATACATCATAAAACACAACTGGTTGTGCTAATGTATCGCATTTCGAGCCGCACTCTCTAAGCATGTGGAACCCTTTGTGGCAAATGTTTCCGTTCCAGGAAATAGCCGGAGCCAACGAGACAGTTAGCTTATCTGTAGCAAGGGCATTTCCTTTCTAACAGGTTTTTTACCACGAAGTTATCTCAAACAAATTAACATCATTCGATAAGTCTCGCTAATCTATAACGACCCAAATTATAAAAGTACCGGCGCGGTTCGGGTCGTCGTCAGGAAAAGCTTGACCGTTAATATGAAGCTAACGGAAGCTAACGCGACGGCTAGCCAACAGCTGCAGTGAATATTAAGATAAACAGGGCACATGTTTTGGATCGATGTGAATACTAATACCGTACCTCTGTTTCTTACTGAGCCGAATACGGGAAGAACCAGATATCCTACATGCACTAACACCATCCTGGGATCCGTATCTTATGATTCCGCCGGGTTTTTTTTTAGAGAGATGGAGCGGTAGTAGCAGCCCATGCGGATCTACATTCAGGCGGTTGGTTGTTGCTTGCAAATACTACAGGCGAACCAACGACTGTCTGACTGGTCTGGTTGTCGCTGACAAAAGCAGACATGTCATTTTTAGTCCGGAGCAAAAGAGGGCGATGTTGCAGCGCTGCATGCTGTAGCTGGAGGTATCTCAAGGTGAACCTGTCCGGACCTGACAATTCAGCTTAATTTATATTACTGCGACTATGAAACAGGCTGTTATTCAGGGAAAATGTGCTAAGCTGCAATACTTCACGTTTGAAGGGCTTCCTGCACTCACTCAGGCTATTGATGTTTCTCCTACTAAAAAAGACTCGGAGGAAATGGATCGGAAATCAGAATGTGCAAATCTAACTAGTGCGAAAAATGGAGGATTGGGACCACTGAAAAATTCAATTAAATTATAACAATAAAATTACAATTGGGCTTGTTAATAAAAATATGGTTATTGTTTACCCTGAGCATCTTCTTAATGAAACAGCTTTACAATAACGGAGTGTCTTCAGTCAGAGGCTATTTCAGAACCACCATAATACAGACTGCTACAGGAGATCCTTCCTCCTATCAGCAATCAGTATTTACAATTATTTGAATAACCTTTAAGTGAATTCTATTTATACTCAGAAAATAAATCAAGATTCTAGCGCCACTTCATTTAGGAGTGACCTTCAGAAATAGCACTTGCTAACATTACAGACTTACTAGAGTCAGGTAGGAGAGGCAAAATATATTGAATTGTTTATTAACAAAACACCAAAAATTAAAGGCTGCTGTTTTGATCAACTTACCATTGACAGCTGGGTGTATGAAATTCAAGATGAGATCATATATAATGATCAGAAGTGATCAAATTAAATAGGTAGCAAATTCTAAAGATTTTTCATAAATGGTAAATTTCCAATAACTTTTTATTAGTTTGCATTTTATGATTAACTAACTATGCAATTAGCAACATTCATTCTTGCAGTAATCTCCTGTAGCATGGTTAAATTAAGACACATTATTGAAATTTATGGATCAGTCAGTTTCAGAATATTTAAAAAAGTCAGTCTAAGATAATTTATCTGAAACCTATTTTAAAAATCTGCATTACAAATACAAGAGGCAAAAAGAATTTTGTGTAATTTTAAGAGTTGAGATTTATTTGGGATCAACGCTAAAAAGAATCTTGTCACATAAAAAATCAAAGGGAACTTCTAATTAATGTAAACAAGAATGAAATGAATAATCAAGCTAAGATAACATACTAATGAATAAGGAAAAAGAATGAAGAAAATTGAATAACTTTAGACAAAGAAGGACAATGGTTTCCAACTACCTATATTATTAAACAAAAGATCTAACACTCGTCAAGAGCTTATATATTATATATTCTCCAAAGTCTACAGAAAGGACTGGATCTGAGTTCTGATACATGCAAATACATTTGTAGGTTTGTTTCCATTGCAGTCAGTGTAACAAGATAACAACAAAAGAAGGGTAAGATGTAACACCAGATTACATAATATTTAAAACACACTAATACAGAGGGTACTCTGGTTTTCTTTTCCACTCATACAGAGCCTGCTTCTTTCAGTGGATTCTTTATGTTAACTGGGGACAATTACTTTCCACTGTTGCCACATCCTTGCTCAGAATGATGGATTGCTAAAAAGTAAACAAATCAATGCAACTGACTTTTAGGTCTTTAGATAAGTGACCTTTAGCGTGTTGTATCAAATGGGAAACTGATTTTTGTATTGTATTATAACTTGTACTGAATTTTATTGAAATGGACTCAATTGATTTGATTTTGGCAATTAACTGGATTCTATGAAATTGTTATGAATTGGGCCATTTGTCTTGTGAAGTGCCGGGGAGGCATTTTGTTGTGAATTAGGAACCACCTAAATAAATTAAAATAAAACTGAATTGAATTAAGGAATTCATAATATATTGTCTAACAACACAAAATGATCAACTAAAAATATATATATATTTTACCAGAGGTGGGTAGTAACTAGTTACATTCACTCAGTTACATTATCTCGAGTAACTTTCTGGAAATAATTTACTTTTTTGTAATAGTTTTAGTTTTATTACACTGTACTTTTTACTTGAATAACATTGGTATCACTACCATTAGAATAAAATTTCTGGCCACTAATTTCTGGGTGGGGTTATTTTGAGGTCAAGTGAATATATAGTAAATATTATTCATTGTCACTGCAAGTACATCAACCTATTCTAAGATATATGGTATATACAAGGAGTAGTTTTATAAGTTTTATATTGAAAAGATTTGATTTGGAAAAGTGTTTTTCCTGCTTATTTTTCTTTTCCTTTTATAATTGTATTATTTATCTGTGTTAATGTTTCCATTTGATTATTGAAAATGCCGGATTTTCCTTGGGGGAAGCAGGCCATTTTCTCTTCCTTGACGGCAGGGGGCATAGATGAGCAGTAAACCAGACAAATTGACATCAGTTCAATAAATAGAAGAAGCGTCCATTCAGCCATTACATTCAGGCAGGTCGGAGCCGCTCAGTGGAGGACAGGTCATTAGCAACCCGACAAAATGTTATCCGTGAGAGTTGCAGCAGCTTTGGTCAGGAGCCTGCCCAGGAGAGCTGGATTTGTAAGTATTTTACTAAACAATATACAGCTATTGTGGTGGTAGCACTAAGCATTTTTTGGTATTATTTGTTGAGCTTTGTGAACGTGAAGGGTACAGGCCGCTAGCTTACGCGACACTAATCCATAAAAGTGAATCTTAACGCAAGAAATCAGCTGTCGCTAATAGCTTAGCCTTGTGGTGTTAATATTACTGAGCTAAACCTATTTTGTCGAGTCGTCCTTGCAAAGACCCGGTATTCGTCCTGCAGCGGCTAAAGTTAGCATCCAAGCTAACACCGAGCTAACGGCTCATTCAGCCACGCTTGAAGGTCAGGAAGCCTGACAGCGCATGTCCTCTCCGCTGCGCAGCGTTTAACCTGCGCAGATCTTAGGTTTTTAATCTCCCTACCAATATCCGACAGAATAATGTGTGGTTTCCCTTGGACATGCTAATAAGTCCGCCTGCCCTTGACTGCAGGTGTCCAAGACGCTCCCGGCCGCCTGCGTGGGGGTCAACCACATCCACACACAGAGACCATGGATGCAGAAGACAGGTGAGACAAATGTAGTTCTGTCCTTCAACATGTTGTCTACTCTATTCAAATAAACAATACTTGTATATACCTAGAGAAACGCTTTGTTTTTGTTGCAAAGTTCTTAATATAAACAGTTCCGTACGCTATAACAAAACCCTGGTTGCCAGATGCTTTGCTCCTATTCAACTTAAACTCATGAGATTTTGCAGTGTAGTAGAAATGGACAAAGACATTTGAGGTGCCAATTTTGTCTCGGTGATCAACTGGATCATATGCAGAAAAATGGGTATTGTTTTTACCTAAATTAATTCTAGGAGCTCTCTTACTTTTTGACTTTCATGCACCTTGAAGTATAATTGAGATCGGATCAGATTTTATGGCGTACTCTGTTGTATAAATGGTAGAGGTGCTTTGGTCAGGCTTTTCCTGAGTGTGGGTTTTCATTCAAGATTTCTAAGGAAACTGATGCACAAAGAAGAAAATCATGCATGTTCTTGAACAGAAGTGCTAGTAGCAGTATTGAAACCAATCCAAGTTTTTGTCATGTGTGTTGTTCTAAAATGAAGGCTTCATTGTTTTAAAAGCTAATTCAAGATATATTTTCTTCAATGATATTTGGAGACACAAAATCAGAATAATGTAATTTTATATAAAAATTTTCTTTGAAAACATTCATCAGATATTTTGCTGTTATTATAATACATTAAAGACATCATGATATTATACCATCAAATAAAAACGCATTCAGTTTTGCACCCTTAAAGAAAATGTTAGCTCAATTCTGAAATGATTTCCAATCCAATGATTGGCAATAAGTTGCATTCTCATTAATAACATACCGAGTGGATTTATTTTCTTTTCTTTATTTCTTTGGTACTCAATGTTAATAAACAAAAACAATATTTTGCTATACTTTGAAAAGGTCAAAGAGTAGTAGAGACTCAAACTTATTGAACAGCCCTCTGAATCGTTTTTCTCCTGACTGGTTCTGACAGGTAATCGAACATCAAAGGTTGAGTACATGTGCTTTGGTGCATAAATGGGATTATTCTGCAAATTTTTTCTTTTGTTTGATTTAAACTATCTACCACCTAAAAACCTGAGACACTTTTTTTGCTTCTCTTATGTGATTGTAATTGTTGCCAAAAATAATTTGGATCAACAAATTTGTCTTTAGAATGAAACCCGAACTCTGTTCTTGCCTGGGAAGGACCGATTGATGCTCCCATATATTGTTAGACGAAACAATTGTAATATTAATTACTCATTCACAGGCACAGCTGAGGTCTCTTCCATCCTGGAGGAGAAGATCTTGGGTGCCGACACCTCCGCTGACCTCGAGGAGACGGGCCGCGTGCTGTCCATCGGCGATGGTATCGCCAGAGTGTACGGCCTGAGGAACGTCCAGGCTGAAGAGATGGTGGAATTCTCCTCTGGACTCAAAGTATGTTTAAAAACAAAAGAAACTGTTAAAGCTGCTTTCTGCATCTGGTCAGCTGTGATTCAACAGAAGCTGAAACCAAAAAGCTTATTACTTCCTAATGGCAAAATACTAAATACATGTGTTTGTCGTTGTAGGGCATGTCTCTGAACTTGGAGCCTGACAACGTTGGTGTCGTGGTGTTTGGTAACGACAAGCTGATCAAGGAGGGTGACATTGTGAAGAGAACTGGAGCTATCGTGGATGTCCCTGTGGGCGAGGAGCTGCTGGGCCGTGTGGTGGATGCTCTGGGAAACGCCATCGATGGAAAGGTTAACTCAAGTTTTATAAAAACAAATGAATAGTAAAAAAAAAACACTTTATTGGGAAAATTTGTAGATCAGTTTCAAAGTTAAATGAGTATTCTGCAGCAGATCGTTTTGTTGTTGAATTAAATTCAATCTTCTTGAAGATTTTTCTACCTTAGAGATGCACCGATTAGATTTTTTGGGTAACACTTTATTTGAAGGGGGTTGAATAAGACTGACATGTCATAAACATGACATAACACCTGTCATGAACATGAATAAGCCTTCATGAATATTTATGACTGTTGTCATAAAGCGTAATTTGGTAAATTGACACTTTTAATACAAAGTTGACATTATTCAAAATGTCTTATGACAACTTAACATTAACCAATAAATCATTACTGATATAAATTTGTTATAAAAGTATTCCTGATTGCCCCTTAAAAATTAGGTAACTTTATGTTATTAAAGGTAAAGTTTAAACAGTAATGATTTATTGGTTAATGTCAAGTTGTCATAAGAAAGACATTTTGAATAATGTCAACTTTGTATTAAATGTGTCATAATTTACCGAATGACGCTTTATGACAACAGTCATAAATATTCATGAAGGCTTATTCATGTTCATGACAGGAGTTATGACATGTTTATGACAGTGTCATGACAGTCTTATTCACCCCCTTCAAATAAAGTGTTACCAATTTTTGTCTAACTGAAATTCATTTGTGCTTTTTATTATTATTTTTTCTAACAGTTTTATAATTAACTTTCTTTATTTGACCTTCATTTGTACAGGTTCTCATTTCCAAAAGAGACCTGTTTTAATAAAAACAAAATTACAAACACAGCAACAAAACAAGTAATTCAGATTTGACTCGATAAATAAGTTAATAAAATCTGATATAAAAAGCAGAGCAAGTTTCATAAGATTTCTTAAAATAAATTTGAGTTGTCCTAAAAGAATCAAAATGGATCGCTTCAGATCCTGCTGTAGTGTTTAACCAAGCAGAGTGAGGTGTTTTTCCTTTTTTTTTCCTCTTACTTGGATGCATTTCAACAATTGATGTTCATAGACAAAGAATCAAGGAAGTTCTTGGTTTTGATTAATTTCTTGAAGAGTTGAAAGCAGCTCTTCCCCTCCTGTATTTTACGCGCCAGTCAAAGGAAAATTTGTAATTTTTTGATCTCTGGCCATTTGATCGGTGCATCTCTTGTATTCATAAAAAAAAAATTTAGTGCAAATTTATGGCAGAAACATGAATAAGCAGCATGGTTCTCTTTTCCTCAGGGTCCTTTGGGCTCAAAGACCCGCAGGCGTGTTGGTCTGAAGGCTCCGGGTATCATCCCCCGTATCTCAGTGAGGGAGCCCATGCAGACTGGAATCAAGGCTGTGGACAGCCTGGTGCCCATCGGCCGTGGCCAGCGTGAGCTGATCATCGGAGACAGGCAGACTGGGTAACTACATTCAGAGCTCATTTAGAGAAATGCATTTATGCTCTTATGTTTCTGAACGCTGCTGATTTTCACTTCAGCAAAACCGCCATCGCTATCGACACCATCATCAACCAGAAACGCTTCAACGAAGGAACCGACGAGAAGAAGAAGCTGTACTGCATCTACGTCGCTATTGGCCAGAAGAGGTCCACCGTGGCTCAGCTGGTGAAGAGGCTGACTGACACCGACGCCATGAAGTACACCATCGTTGTGTCCGCCACCGCCTCTGATGCCGCTCCGCTGCAGTACCTCGCTCCTTACTCTGGCTGCTCCATGGGAGAATACTTCAGAGACAACGGCAAACACGCCCTGATCATCTATGACGATCTGTCCAAGCAGGCGAGTTCAAATGTCAAGAGGAATTAAAGTCGGGAGATTATGGCTTAATTTTATTTTTTTCTTCTCCTGCTTTTCTAAAAAATGACAAAATATTTTCAAAAGTTTTTTATTTTAATCTTCTGAGTTGTACAACAGCGTAGCAATGAGGCTATAAGATTTTTTTTTTTTTTAAACTACAAGAATATACTTTAATATTAACAGAATAAAGATGCAATGTTACCAAAAAAATCTTAAAATTAAAATGAGAAAACTTTGTTATAAGGATCTGATGTGATCAGTTCAGTCCATGTAGATCTTTCTTCGGAGAAGACGCAGCTGTTTGTATGATTGTTTCAAAGTCGATGATGTGATAATAGATGAAGTATTTTTATTATGTATTATCTGTAAAACTTTTACCAAAATATAGCTTCACAAGATGCTCAATATTCCTCATTTAAATTTTTTGTCATGTGGGAGTTCTCATAAAATGACAAATTTATTCTTCTAATGTTGCAACTTTATTCTGGTAGTATGGCTTTATTCTGATGATTAAAAATAAATTGTATCCTGGCCCTAATAGTTGACCTGAATCGATGTCAGACAAGATGGCAGATTTTAGGTGTGCCAACATCACTCTGACCTATGGAAACCCTGGAAATGCATTGTTGGAGGGGAGGAAAACGATCCAGATTTCCCCAAAAATGAAATCTTCAAAAACCCAAACAGATTTATCATTCAGCCTAAAGAGCAAATGTTGCATATGGACTAATTTTCTCCTGATCTCTCCCACCAGGCTGTTGCCTACCGTCAGATGTCTCTGCTGCTGCGCCGCCCTCCAGGCCGTGAGGCGTACCCTGGTGACGTCTTCTACCTGCACTCCCGTCTGCTGGAGAGAGCAGCCAAGATGAACGACAACTTTGGAGGCGGCTCCCTCACCGCGCTGCCCGTCATCGAGACCCAGGCCGGAGACGTGTCTGCCTACATCCCTACAAACGTGATCTCCATCACAGACGGACAGGTCCATATTGTTTTATATTGAAAATATTCAGTAAATGGTCTCTTTATTGGAGTGTTTAATTTAGTTTTGTCTTTTTTTTTTTTTTTCTGCAGATCTTCTTGGGGACTGAGCTGTTCTAAAAGGGTATCCGTCCAGCCATCAACGTGGGTCTGTCTGTGTCCAGAGTGGGTTCTGCTGCCCAGACCAGAGCCATGAAGCAGGTTTGTCCAGTCTGTGGTTAGAATTTACCCCCATTATGTTTAATGAGAGTTGAATCCACTAAATCCAGTCTGACTTGCCTGTAGGTGGCTGGTACCATGAAGCTGGAGTTGGCTCAGTACCGTGAGGTGGCTGCCTTCGCTCAGTTCGGTTCTGACCTGGACGCCGCCACCCAGCAGCTGCTCAACAGAGGCGTCAGGCTCACTGAGCTGCTGAAGCAGGGACAGTACTGTGAGTGTTGATGAGTCACGATCCATACAGTAATAAACAATATCTTACCTGCAGTAGATGGCACTGTTGACATCTTCATTTGGTATAAATCTAGACGAGTTGAACCCAGAGGCCAAATTGGACGCCTGCTGTCTTAAGATGACTCGTGTCTCCACCGGGGTTTATGTGAACACTTCCTGTTGGACCTTTAAATCTCCCTGTTTGCAATGGGCAGATAATTACACAAACCGATTGCCATAATTAACTGAGACAGCTGTGGTGCACCACCAATAAACTTCCTGTGAGGAACGTTTGCAGTCAGAGTAGCTGATTAAAAGTTAGGCTGTGTAAAAACTACATCTATGTTTTATTTAAGACGGTTACTGAGGAGGAAGGAAACTTTACATAGCCCTTATTAGAAAAGTTATTGGTGGCACAACACCTCCTAACTCAATTTCCTGCATACATTAATCTACTGTATAAATATCCACCCAATGCTGAGGCTAATTGCATCTTCAGCATGAAAATGACACCAATACTGTATGGCGGCTTTAATTTAAACTTTGTATGAGGCGATACCCATGGCTTTCTTTAGCCTTTGGGTTACATTTTTAATGAGAAATCTCAGTTGAATCCCTTCATATTTGTGCATAGAAAAATATTTTGGTTGCCAAAGGTAGTCTTCCACTATAATATATATATTTTTTTAAGAGCTGAGATGATTAATTTCACTGATTATAACTAATTTCGTAATCAATCGTTAACTGCAATATATACTCAGAAAAAGGCAATTTTATAAGAAATGCATTTAGTGCTGTAATTAAGGCAAAACTGTAGGAAAAATATAAACATTTTGCATTTATGAAACACTTTGAATGTAAATATGCAGAAGTAGAGTGCCATAGTGTTAGCTTCACCAAGTTCAGATTCACTGAAGGAATATTGTATTTGAATTGAATTTATTACCATCTTTTAATATATTTCTAATGCTGTGTAAAAAGGCTCTTTTAATCTGATTAATCAATAACTAATTAGGTTCAGCCAGTATTTTTGTTGTGTAAAATAGTGCTAATATGACAAATTAAAAATAATCCAATTAGACCTGAAGCTGTTTGAAAGATTTTAAGCTTTTAAGACAAGAAAAAGAGCTAACCATTAGCTTCAGGGTCCAACTAATCTGGCTTTATACTAAATGAAAACTGTTATCTACTACTGGAATGAAACTTTTAACACCAGCACAGTTGAATCCTGAACTATGCTGAAAAGTATCTGGACTGGTTTATGCACTGGTGTACCTGCCTCTGTCCTGCAGCTCCCATGGCCATTGAGGAGCAGGTAGCGGTCATCTACGCCGGCGTCAGAGGACACCTGGACAAGATGGAGCCCAGCAAGATCACAAAGTTTGAGAAGGCGTTCCTGCAGCACATCCTCAGCCAGCAGCAGGACCTGCTCTCTGCAATCAAGTAAGGCTAAGCTTCTCTCTTAAATGTAAAAGTTGGTACATTCAAAATATTTTTATTAATGTATTTTTTTTTTCTTCCAGGGCTGATGGAAAGATCTCAGAGGCATCAGATGCTAAACTGAAGCAGATTGTACTGAACTTCCTGTCCAGTTTTGAGTAATGATTGCACTTCTGCTGGTTGTCAGTGAGCTTCTTGTCTGTGTCCTCATAATGCGTATACATGTGAACACACTGAAGGCCAAAACCTCCATGTACAGATTTCTCCAAATAAAATTTTCCAGCCCTCCTCTCCCTCCTGCTCTGCTGTGCAGCTCTTCTGGTTCTTGACTGCTGCAGATTTTAATTCAGGCAGGCCAGCCAGCAACACATGACTCTGAACGTTTTGTTTCTGGTGTTCCACATTCATAAAACATGTAAACTGTAATACGTTCTTAGAAATATATTCAAATAGACCAGGTGAGAGGGTTTAAATTAATTTTGACAGAACCTGTTCTTCACTGGTTTTACTATGATTGAGCTGTAACGCCCCCAGTTGGCCTGTGGATGGAGTAAAGGGGTAAAAAATGTTTGATACCATAGTAATAAATGCCGTGACGCTGTCACAAAATATTTATCGTCCTGTCTTTTGTTTGCAAGCTTCATTAAATCTTGTTAATCTAGATTTTTAAATGTAGGTTTTTATATTATTAAACATTAGCTGAAAGCTATATTTGAGAGGCATTTACTGGCCACTTTGTTAGGTACATTTAGTCTATCGCTTTCTGTAAAAGCAAAAGAAGATGCCAAGACTTTTAGGCATCTAAAAGTCTTGGCATTTTTAGATGCCTAAAAATGCATCTAAAAATGCATCTAAAAATGCATTTTTAGATGCATCTAAAAATGCAACAAGCAATACCAGGGTGAGTATTGATATTGGAAGAATAATTTTGTTTGTAGTTTCTCTTCTATATGTCCAGCAAATTGTTTTAATTCCCTGACAGTTTATATAGGAATTAAAATCAAGAGCTTACATTTCAATTTTACTTTAGGATTTCTTATATTTTATAAAGTTTGCAATCAAAACATCTGCTGTCTTTCTATACAATGTTTAGTTTGCCCCTAAAGTTGAGTTTTATCCATTTAGGCAGTTGGGGAAAAAAAATCCTACTGGAACTCAAATATACATTTATGGAAAGATGTAGACTTGAAATTTGGATATTGTCACATGAATATATGAATATTAACTGAATAACTCTTAGGTTATATGCATATTTGACTCAGGTAACCTAAAAATAAATGTGTAGTTTAAGGTAACAAAGGAATTATGTTATTTCTATTGACTGTAACAGCAGAAGTGAGTAGTAAGTTATAAATAATTGGGTAAGTTTTTAGAAAAAAATTACTTATAAGTATTTTTGCTATACTGCACTTAAGTAATTTTATTAAGTGTCACTACTCTGAAGTACATTTTCTCTGCCATCTTTGAGTAATTTCACTGGAGAACAAGCTTGTTTTAACCAATCACCACACAAACACACCTGCAGTTTTTCTGAGTTTCATAAGTTTTACATTGACATTTGATTTGGAAAATGTTTATTTTGCCTGGTTTCATTTTGTGATTATTTTTATTCTGGTCTTTAAAATACTAAAATTTACAGATAATATTTTGGTGATATTTCTAAATATTAAATTATTGACTTTTTTTGTCAGTTACTCAGGACTTGAGTAGCCAATTTACCTGTTGAGTATTTTTATTTTATTTTATTTTTTTGGACAGCTACTTTTTACATATATTTAAAAATATGTAGAAGTAGTGCTACTCATACTTGGGTACAATTTTTGGGTTCTCTACCCACCTGCAAAATCACAATATAAATATCAGCTATAGGTGAAAATATTCATTTTGGTGCATCCATATTTAACAGGTTATGAATTTGTTGCTAAGCAGTATAATGTTATAGTGATTATGGCAATGTAACATGGCTTTCGCAACAAATGTGAACTGATTAAAGGAGTATTATGATGAAATATCCAGTAATGGATATTTAACATGATCCACGTTGCATTACAGGTTCATTGCCATTAGTAATTATAGTTTTACTTCACATCTTGTTTAGCTGTAGAATTTAATTCTTAAAAACTGTAGTATTTTATGCTGATAATAAGAAGCTGATGCTCAGCCCAGATCATCTCAGACTGGATCCTTTGGCATTAATTCACTTTTCTCCAACAGAACCTTTAGAAATAAATCAGATTAGGAATATACAGACAACAAATCAGCAACTGTGATGCATTACTTCCCCTGAGGTGAAAGGAGTCAGGGTTTATTATCCTATTTGTTAGTTAAAGAAGCCATTTTGAGTTAAATAAAAGCACATGAAATAATGTCACGTTCCCCAAATTACCTCCAGTAAACTTGTTTTTTCTGTGGTCTCTAAATTCTTGTGCTGAAGACTTCCTATGCAGTCTCATATATGGCCAGCAGGGGGCCTTACCCATCTGTAGATATATCTTCGGAGGTTCACGTGATTGTGTTATGAGACACCAAAGTTTGTGTTTGAGTTGAGGTTTCCAGATCAGTCTGTGGTTCTATTTACTAAGAAATCAAAATAAATACAAAAAAGAGAGAATTTTTTTTGTCACTATCGGACTTTTTCTGTGAAAATGTCACCCTGTAACACGTTTCAACCTCAAGGGCCTATATAGCTATATAAATAGCTATAGCTATTTATGTGGCCCTTTGCCACATAGATAAAAATGTTGTATAACAGTTGTGTGGTTCAATGTTATTTTTATCAGTCAAGTCAATTCAGTTTTTATTTTTTAATAGGTAGATTTATTAACACATTCTGACACAACAGGCCCTTTGAGAACATTAATCAACTTGATGAGGCCCAGAATGAAAATGATTTTGACATTCCTGCCTCATAAGATCAAAAAAAAAAAGTCTATTTGTATCAACAAAATGCGCTTGCAGTTCAGATTTGCTCCTTTCCTGAATTTTCTGGAAGCCTCAAATGGACCCCGAGCCACACGTTGGACACTCCTGATCCAAATATTTCCCCGTTCTCAGTCATTCTGCTGGCATGTTCTCACTTCCTCCCTGTGGTCTGCCTGTGTCCTCCAAAACCGCCTTTTCAAGAAGAATGCTCTGTTCTTCTTTCTGCTCAGTCACGTGAAATGTAACGTTAAGAACTCAGAGAGGTTTGAGTCGTGCGTTTCTCTAGCTGCATGGTTGACTGGTGGTGGGATAAAGTCAGACATGTGACAGAGAGTAAGTGGAGCTGCTTTCACTGAGGACTACTGTTGGTGTCAGTGTGACAATAAGAGCGAGCTCTGTGCTGCCGACATACAGACAATAACAGGTCAGAAGACATGGGCAGGTTCTCAAGGGTAAAGTTGAGTAATTTCAAATATGAATCTCATTAGTTCATTATAATCAAGTCTTGTACATGAAAAAAGCAAAGAATTAAATTTCTATGGAATTTTGAGGTGTTTTGTTTGACAATTTGTTTTAAATTCGTGAACAGAATCTGTTCAAGAATTGAACAGATTGTGATCGTTACTTAATACTGTCAGTAACAATCTGACGGTATTAACACTAACATGGGGTTATATGAAAATGAGCTATAATGTTAGTTTTAATGCTACTTTCAGTGTTTGGGTTGTCACATTGACACTACACAAACATGGAGTCTTCGTTCTCATACACTAGGTTTCTTAAAAACCTAAATGCCTGAAACAAAGTATTTTTTTGAATACATTATTATTATAACAAAAGACTGGTTTTTCCATCATTTGTATTACAGTCTACTTGCGTAAGAATAATAAAAATTTCTGCAGTAATTCTTGCCCCATCTGCTTTACATTTTCCAAAGACAAAAAAATACACAATGGTAGCAAAAAGGCTTTTCCCCCCTCCTTTATTTCAAAACTTCTGAACAAAAATATAAATTTTATACAATTATCCAGAAAAAGATTGCATTTAAATATATATATATAAAATTACACCTGGAAGCTGACAGCAGGCAGCAGCTTTAAACTAAGGCAATAATCAATATAAAATATTTTATTTTTGAGTTCAGTTTCTGTTTATAACAGCCCTGGTTTCCTTAAGCACATAATCACCAGATCTCTACAAGCCTGCTTGCAGCGTGAATACAGAGGCTCATTATATTCTTTTTTTTTTTTTTTTTTTAAAAAGGAATTTTCATCCAAGATGGCAAATCAAACAAGCATGTGCTACCAATGTCCTGTGCAGTGCGCCTGAGTCTGTACCTGAAGCTACACCAGGTAGCAGCTAAAGCCTGCATGCAGGCTGCAGCAAATGGCACCATGTAGGTAAAGCTTGTGCGCCCCAACAGGCAGCAGGTAATGTATAAGGCTTGCTGTTTGTTTATGGGTTTTAGGTCGACTCTGAGGTCCTTTTGGAACTGAGGCTGAGCAGAGGAGCGTCTCTGAGGCACCGGAGTCATTCAGTGTTGCAGTAGTGGTTGCTATTGTTGGAATTTTCCTGTAAATTGGAGTGAGGGTCCTCTTCCGCCTGCGATACCACTGGTTCCACTGGCAGTGAAAAGAAGTTGGAGACACAGAAGACCTGCAGAAGACGGACATGTAGCCATCACTGAAATGTGAAGACATTAGAATAATCCAAGTTGACCATAACTGTTTGAATGGATCTTTAAAAACATATGGACCCCTTGAATGTTATTGTTTACGTCCGAGAATCGAGAATTTCGCGCATGCGCACAACGCTGGAGGGCAATTTTTTTTTTTACATGCTAGCCATAGCCGCGCTGCTGCGGTAGAATAATTCCGTTAACTAAATGAAACCTGGAGATATAGGTATTATTAATTTAGTGCAGAGTGTCACAGAAAAGGAAAAATAACGCAGAAAAACCGTTAAAGTACAACTCAAACCCACTGCTACCCCCTAACCCCCACTCTCTGTGTCGTGCTATGCTACGCATGGTCTCGTTACTATAGCAACTGACAACAATGCCACTTTATGTTTCAGGATTCAACACCAAAAAAAGCACACAAAAAAAACACACAAACATTTCCCACACAAACGCCACAACATTCAGTCGGTTACAACATTATGGTTTTAAGCTTGATGTTTAGTTTCCGACTAATGAATCATCGCTGACGTAGATTAGCTACCGTAAAAAAAAAAATTACTCCTTCTTCAGTGTCAGCAATTTCACACTGTGTCAAAAATAATAATTTTACTGAATGAGTGTGTGAAATATCACATGGGCATGAGCTGGTATAACTCATGGTATGACAGAGAATAAAATGACTTCTCTGTATTTGCAACAACAACAACAAAAAAGAGCAACTGCAAATTATCTTTTAGCCACTTTATGGGACACTTACTGTGAAAACCGCCACCAAACCGCCCTGCAAGAGGCCAACACACACGTCACTCCAGTGGTGTTTGTAGTCAGACACTCGGGTCAAACCCACATACACCGCAGTGGCAATCAGGAAGAACTGGAGGGTGGGACGCAGAAGCCGTGACCACTTTGACCTCATCCTGGCTTGAAGGTACAGCTGCAAGATACAGAGGAAAGAAAAATGCACAGTCACACCTTTCTCTACAGATTCCACAGTCTGTATCAATATTTGCGATACAAGTGTTCACAAGAGCCATTTTACTAGTCTTTTTTTTTAAAGCATGATAAAAAAGTAAACATTTTTATGCTTCAGAGAGTTTCACTGGTTGTTTGAATACCTCACAAATGAGATAAACATGGCATGTAAATATCTCATTTAGTGATTATGTTCAAATTCAAAGAGTGCTTCTTTGTGTATTGTCTTGACATCTGTGCTGCATTGTTTTCCAAGCAGAACCAGTTAAGCACATGACATAAGCCAACATCATGAGTAATTTATGCAGTCAGGGTCTCATTACATCTTCCTTAGATAATGAGATTTTAGTCTTGTCAATTCAGACTGTTGTGAGCTCCTTTCAGAACGAGCAGTTCTAGAGTTTCTTGTCACGTTAAATCCAAATAAGCTGCGGCTGGCCACGTCCTTCAACTCAGCGTTTAAACTAGCATGTGAAAATGGCTGCAAACATACGTGCAATTTTACACAAATGTACATTTTTAAAAAGCAGAAGTGGAGCCTCCTGCACCGTTAGCAAGAATGCAGCAAGTGGTTTCTGGATGAAAAGTCGACAACAAAACACTTGTCTTTTCCAGCAGCCATTGTACAGCGCATACAGCGGTAAAACCAGCTGATCATACGTTCTGGAGCTCAGCTGGGGTGAGCTCTAAAATGTTGTTTGTTTTTTTTTTTTCTTAAGCGCTTTGGCTGTTTTTAGAAGCAGTGGAATGCTTTCAGGTCAGGCAATGCTTGCCTTTGCATGATAATGATTATTTTCAAGGGTTATTAAATGTATTCTGCGCCCAAGCTGAGGTTAAGGATGCTGCAAAACTGCATAATGACTATGATGGGGATGCAAAAACGTTTATTATATGTACTTACGGAAAGGAACAGCATGCAGTACATGGAGAAGGACGAGTGACCAGAATAAAAGGACAATCTATAAAGGAGAAAAAGATTGAAGTTTAGTCACTTTTCTTTAAATATGCAGTGAAAATGAAACTATAGCACATAGCACATATGGCACATAGTCTGTCCTCAGATTCTGACTCTTGATTACCTGAATATTTATACCCTGATGTGATAACAGATGAGGCGTGTGGGAGAGAGCTGGCCAGCAGCCAATCAGAACCACTTCCTCTTGCAGAGATGCCATTATGCCTCTGTAACCATTTCCATTTTTGTTTGTTTTGACTTTATTACTAGGCAGAAGAAACCCAAGCATTTTGGAAACAGAACACTAAAGCGATGTGGAATTAAACTGTCAACTAGAGGAAACTGCATATTTTGGTATCAATCCAATGGCAAGTAAATACACGTCCAGAATCACCGATTAATACCAATACTTTTTATTAGTTAGTTATAATATGTCAAACTTCTGACTTCTTCGGTTGTTTTTAAGGCTTTTAGTTTGAAACATTTTGTTAAAACCAAGCACAGAATTTGAATAAAGTTTATAGGTGTAAACAAAATACTTTAAAAACAAGGTCAACAAAAAAGACAAATTTGTGTAAATTTTTTACTAAATAAAGTGCAAAGAGCAAAACAAAATCTGTTTTGAGGCACCATTGAAAAACAATCCATTAATAAAAGTTTAAAGACAGAATATGACACGGTTTGTTTAAGGGGGGAAATTTACCTTCTAACCACACAGTTTACAGTCTAATCTCTCATGAAATACAAAACTTTTTTTGAACTCTTATGACTTTCACACATTTGTCTCTAAAGCTGCTAAAAAAATAATTGTAAATAACCAACTGTATAACTAAATAGGACAGAATAAAAAGGTGATTTGAGCTTTTACTGACTCAGAAGATGCTTTTTCCCCCCCATTACGTGTGTAAAAATGTAATGGTTCACTGTCAGCTGTTTACTCATCTTCATCATTTGGTAAAGGGAGGGAATCACACATTAAATGGTAATTTTTAAAAGATAAATCATCATTACCACGCCTTGAAAATTCCCATAAAATGATTCATTGCTGAAGTATTTTTTGCAATTGAACTCATGTTGAGTTGCTTGGAGTATCGCGCAAAAGTTGATTTGTATTAGCTATTCTTCACAATAAGAAAGAAAAAATTAAATTTGAAAGAGGCAGGAGTGTATTGTTTTTTTTATGTCAGAGATAAAACAATTACTCATCTAAACTGCTAATATCTGCAGGTGGAATAAGGATTTTAAAGCTCAAAACATCTAGAATAAACAATCCAGGTTTATCCAGGTTCATCTTGTCACCACACAGTCAAAACGGTTAGAGGGAGAGAAAAAGACTGAACTTGTTCATTTATTTTAAAGATTTCACACATTTTTGACAGAAATGTGAATAACTGATATTTACATGATAGCACATTCCCACCTTCTCATATGAATACAATAACCAACAACCATGGATAATAAAACTGATATCTACCATCTCAGATCTGAATGAAACTAGTATTATTTTAGTGGTGCCATTGACAACTTTCTCTTTTGAATATTGTATCACAAATCAGCCAGCCAGTGAACAAAATCTTCAGATTTTCAACATTGATCGCCTCTGATCAGTGATTAGCAGGAAAACGCTGAAGAAACTGATTCTTTTTCTCTGATTTCTGATGCATTTCTGTCTTGTGAAAATTAGACTGTTAGGCAAACAGTGTTCAAAGATTAAATCAGAAAATGTCTTTCATTATCCGCTAGTTTCCAAATTACAATTTCTCCAAGGACTTCAAAGTCTATTTTATCTCATACCGACAAGATCTGTTTAATTAACATGATGATTTTGAATGTAGTTCTTAGAGGGAAAATCACACACCAAGTTCCTCAAGGCTCAATTTGTGGACCAGTTTCATCAAATGATGACCACAACATTTCCTACAATATGATTTTGTAACATTTATTCCCAGCACAGTTACCAAATTACAGTGATCCAAATATTTAAGAATGGATTGGTACGGCTAACTTCAGAAAAAAAACATAAATTATTGTTTTTGGTTCCTAAAATGTGAGGTTAGAGATCTGAACTCACCTGGATTCGATCTCATCGAATCCAGGTGATCCCCCCCCACTCCCCGACCACAAAACTAATTTTGTTTCATATTTGAAGAATTTCCCACTTTAAAATCAAATTTTAATCAATCACTTTTAATCACAGGAGATTAAATTCAAAGATGAAACCTCACCTGGCTTCGGTCACCTCAAAATCATTTCCAATGCAGGTGAAGTTCTCTATGTATCCTCCAGTTTTACAATCGATCTGATCCCACACCGGATTGCATACAGCCAGGAAGTACGGCCGCAGTCGGCCGATGGAGTATTTAGCGATGTCAGTCAGAGACTGACTGGCAGCGGCTCCAAACATGGCGCTCCCCACGGCTTTGTAGACACACATCATCCATTTCCTCCTCAACGACCGGTTCTTGACGCGACACATGTACACTGATATAAACTCACCGCAGACGAGCTAAGATGGAGAAAAAGGAAAACGAGCCATGATGGAAAGACATCACATCATGAAAAGGAGTCAGATTTTAATTTAAATCATTCTTACAACTATGAGTGTGAAGGGAATCATGACTCCGAGGAGCAGCTGGTAGGATATGGTGTCCTCTTTGTAGGGGAATCTGATGGACTCATCGTTGCAGAAGAAACCCCGCTTGAAGGGGCTGTGTCTGGGAGTTAGGATGAAAAATGGAAGTCCAACTGTGAAAACCAAAAGAGAGACAAAGAACAGGACATTAGATATTAGTCAGTTGTAAATGCCCCCAACTGATGATCAACTTTCCTGATTGGTCCTGAGCATTTAAGGCAACACTCTTCTGATAAATAATTGAGACTTTTGGTTTAACTAACAAGAAGCTGCTGGAAATTCAGGAAAAGTAAAATACAGCTCTGGAAAAAATTAAGAGAACATGCAAAATGATCAGTTCTCAGAGTTTACTCTTTATAGGTTTATGTTTGAGTAAAATGAACATTGTTCTTTTATTCTATGAACTGCTGACAACATGTCTCTGAAATTCCAAGCAAAAATTTAGTATTTGCAGAAAATGAGAAAGGGTCAAAATAAAAAAAAAGATGCAGTGCTTTCAGTCCTCAAATGATGAAAAAGAAACTAAGTTCATATTCATTTAGAAACAACAATATTAATGTTTTAACTCAGAAATGAATATTTGCTGGAATAACCAGGAGGTCTTCAACGGGGTTCACTACAGTGGACTCTTCATTTTTTCCAAAGCTGTGTTTGTACCTCAATAGTGGAACAGCTGTGCCATCTAAAATTGTTCTTTCTCATCTGCTATTAATTTTTTTCTCTTTCATGATCATCAAAATAATCCTATATCGGTTCGTTTCTTTCTTTTTTGTGCGTCTTCTCAAACCCCCAGTCGGTCGTGGCAGATGGCCGGTTATAGTGAGCCCGGTTCTGGTTCTGCTGGATGTTTCTTCCTGTTAGACGGGATATTTTCCTCTCCACTGTCGCTACATGCATGCCCAGTATGAGAGATCGCTACATACTCATCCAGGAGGGGAAACTGGATGCAATCTGCTTGGTTTCCTCAGAAACTTTTTAAGCTAATTTGAATAATTATCTGAGCTTATTAGGATAAATTTGAATATTGGTGCGATTGAACTGAAATTGTTTCGAGACGACATTTATTGTGAATTGGCGTTATGTAAATATACTGAATTGAATTAAACTGCAGCCCAACCTAGTTTCACCTTCAAAACCTGCTAGAAGAGACAGTAACATCGTAATTTAAATGTTCTAAACAAAACAGGGAGTCAGCCATTTTGAATCAAAATAGTCCTTTTCAGATTTTGCCACATTTTAACAAAGTCGAACTTTGACAGCTTGATATCCCATAATCCAAGCTGTACATGAAGTCTTTATTTCACACTGTACTCTTCATTAAGCCTTTGCTACCAAACAGGAAGTTTGCAATGTTTCAGCTCACCCAACTTTATCCACTTCATTAGAGGACAATTAAACCGCAGCACCACTTTCTGCTTGTGATCACACTGCGAAGATGTTGCTCAAACACACTGGCGCCACATTTATCAGCGTTCAGCTTCATCTCTGCTTGCGACACCAACAGGATGGTAGGATTTACTAGAAGTTTCACAACAACTGAAGCACACAGCGTGAGGTTGATTACAGCAAAACAATTTTGTAACAGCTGTGTAACAGCCATGAAGACCAACTGTGTCACCACGCATACAGTGAAGGGCAGGTCTGACTGGATGAGACCCAGGATGTGTGATCCGTCTCAAACACATGCTCCAACATGCTTCATACTCTTCCGTTTTATCTGAATCGGTTTTATCTGATCTAAGAAAGTTCAGACTGAAAGCTCTGACATGAGATCTGGCGTTTCTCCAAGTGTGTATTCTTTCAGGCTAATCGTCACATCAAATTACTCCATCTGCAAGGAGATCTGCACAAGCTTATGGGATTATATTTTGTTTTTTTGTTTTGTAGAAGCATCCACCACCATTACAAGATCGACTCTTTAGTTACTGAAAATTATGAAGATCAGACTTTCTTTGCATTTAGCCAAAATTGATTTCTACACGTAAATATCAGTGAAATGTTTAGTTTTGTCACTTATTCGCAAAAAACATTTAGCAGATGAAGGTAGAGACATGAAAAGACAAACGTATCTTTGTTTAGTTTCCATTTTTAGGCTTGATCTGGGATGTTCAGCTTTAAACCTGACATGTCAACTGTGTTTCTTTGTGATAATGAAAAACCAGGCCAGCTGGATTGTGCGGAGATTAAATCACACGTTTTCTGGTTGGGTGACTTCTAAAAGCAAATGTTCCTCTTGACTGCATTCATCAAAAGAAAATGGGACACATGAACACCACTCAAATGTTTACTTGCATAAAACACTGCATTAATTTCTTCCCACCATCTATTAAGGCACCAATTTTCTTAGTCTTAAAATACATTCAAGTCACATAAAATGCAGAAAATGTTTTTTTTTTTAAATATATACTACTAAAATGCACTTTTACTGTAATGTTTGCTTTAGTTTCTTACTGCATTTATCAAGAATCATAATAATTACAGAACAAAATGTCCTGTTATGTAAACACAAGGTAAATAGGGGCCGTCTGCTTGTGGAAAAAATGAGGAATAAAGAGCAGTCAGCAACAAAGCCAACCACAAGACAGTGACTAAGCAGTGCGGAAAATCCTCGGGGAAAGCTTTCTACAGCTCTCAAACCCTGATCTTATGAAACCAAATCAGAAACTGCAAAGGCTTGTTATTTTAATCTCTATAACTGGTTCTACATGCTTTTTCTGTGATTCTTTTCCACTCATGCAGCTAAAAATACAGATTTATGAGGGAGGAGGGGGGGAAAAAAAGAAAAGAAAATATGCAGGGTGGGACTTTTTCCATCTTCCTGCCTGGCTGGTGAAACCTCAAGCCTTCCTCTGAGTGTGCAAATAGCATTTATGCAAATAACCTTACACTGAATTCCTCCTCTAGTTCTTGACTTCGGTTCTGAGGCTTTTAAAAAAGTTGCAGAAAAAAACAGGTTTACCTACCGAGGACAAAGCAGGCAACATCGAAGATGACAGGGATTCCCGAGGCTTCAAACATCTTCGCTGCTTTCGGGTTTGTGTCTTCAGTGAAAAGTTTCCTGCTGCTTTCAGGAGGAGAGACGAGGCGCAGCCTTTCTGCCGCACATGTGTCTCTATTCCAGCACACAGTTAAAACACAGCACTGTCATTGTCTCTGGAAGCGTCCGAGCCGCTGTAAATCTACCACGGAGCGTTTAGTGGGGAAGGAAAACCAAACCCTCCAAGACGAACAGAGGGTGAAACTAAAACTAGAACTAAATAAATAAAAACCAAACAGCACCAGACAGCCGCTCACCCTTCCTGTTGCTCACCGACCATCATAACCCAGCGGGATTCCTTTTGCTCATCGGAAAATATCCTCTTGTCAGCAGATGACACATTTATCCAGATTGTCCCCGGAGCGCTTTGATTAGCGATGCCTTCAGAGGAAGCTCGGAAACCTCGGTCACCAGTGATTACTCGTGAAAAAAAATCGATCATTGTGTCAATTTTTTTTTTTTTTTTTACCAATGTAGCAGTGATTATGGAGGTCCAGAAGGGTCTGGGGGTGAGTGTGCCCCAAATGCCACTACAGGTAAAAAAAAAAAAGAAAATAACTCATGAAGCTCGAGTAGAAACAAGAAATCTTGCTTCATCATCAACAGTAGGTGTGTTTCTGTGTCTGATGTATATTTGCTTAAATTATGTTTGTTCTTCAGTCTGTGAAATTACTGGCAGTAGCTCCAGAAAACAACAACAACAAAAGTAATTCTTCATATTACTCAAGTAAAAATAAGAGGTGTGAAAAACAACTTCTAAAAGTTTGTTTCCCCCCAAAAAAAGATACTCAAATAAATGTATCCAAGTCTCTTTAAACTCTTTTACCGCTAAATATAATATAGGTGTTTCACAAATTAACATTTTATGACTTTTCCGTAGGTTTCACTCCTGTGAAAAATACTTAACGTATTAAATGTAAAATTTTTTAATAATTTATATTCAACATGGATAGCACACCTGAATTATGTTAATATACTTTAAATAATTGTCTTCCATTACACTTTCTTTAGAATACATATTAATAGAAAACATTCTAGCTTGATGTTTCTATATAATTAAGTATATTAATTTTGTGATTAAAATCTTTTTGTAGATTTGTCCATTTCAATAGGATGTTTCAGTATATTACATTTAAATGTTATTTTAGGTTAACTTTTCAATTTTCAAATGCCAAACATCAGCAACTGAACCAAAAGAGCATTTTAAATCCAAATTATTCTCACAAAAATATAATAATCTCTATTTAGTGACATATTAACACAATCAGATATTTACAAACACTCTCATGGGAGCTTCTCCTTTCCTCCTCCTGTATTTGAATTTCCAAGCTGCGCATGAAGGCACCTCTAGACAGAGAAAGGGGAGGTGAGCCAGGAGCCAATCAGGTGCCAGCCTTACTGCTACGTCAGCAGTCGGCTGATGCAGGTGTGCTCCTCCCTCCACCTCGCTGATTGTCCTCAGACCGGAACTAAGGCGTCAATAGATTCGCGGCAACATGTTGATCAGATATGTCTCTGTTGTTTTACCTCAAAAAAGATCGAAGCAGTTTTTAAAAATAATTTTATAGATTTTAAATGTTTCAGCAAATCGTGAATTTTATTTTAAGTCACAAAATTTGTATTATATTGTAATAATATTCTAATATTGCTTTATAAAGTGGACATTGTGCCTTTTGCAATACTTCGTGTTTTCCTATGACTATGCAAAGTAATAAAATACTCTTGGTTTTTTTTAGTACATGAATAATCTCCCAAAAATCTTATTTTAATTCATTATTAGCCTGAAAAAAATATATTATTTTTATATCTGAAGTAAGTTAACTGGGGTTTCTGGCAGATTATAAAGAATCCAAAAATATAAACCAGAGGAAAGATAGCTAGAATATAAGTTTTCAAAACTCTTCAGTTTCAATTAAATTTATGGTTTAGGTTCTGCAACACATTTATCAACACTTCCCTTTTTCAGCGTTTTTCTCCTGTATTGCAGTTGGTTTTGCTTCCCTTGTAGCATTACACTCAACAGCTCTTTTACCTGGCATCCTATTATGAACGTAAACGAGAGCATGACACATTTCAGCCACTTCAGCTTTGACAAAAGTTCCTGTTTTGCTTGTAGATCATTTTGAATAATGTTTTTATCCATCCTTTTGTGATTATTTAAAAGACAAAGAGAAGAAACTCAATTCCAGTTTCTGCAAATGAAATACCAATACTTATTAGATTAGTTTTAGAAATGTAGGATTAAAATATATTATTCTATATGTGATGAATAATATATGTTAAAATTGTAATTACTTTGAGATGCACCTTTAAACTGAGGTTTATTTTTCTTTTCCTTTATAAACTTTGTTCAGAAACATAAAAACAAGACAACCATCCAAATAAAGAGTAAACCACAGAGACACGCCGTCCAGTTTTTAAAACTTTTTTATTGTTTTTAAGTTTTTTTGCTCATTTTTTAAATTATTTATATTATCTACAAAGTAAAAGTTTTAACTTAAAAGTTACATAAGGGTCAGGTGAGAAGTGGGATCTGATCACCTCAGCCGTTATTGTTTTATAAATAACATTTCTCCTGTCCTCTTGGCTGCTTTATTATTATTATTTTTTAATTCCCCTCACTGGACGTTTCTGGCCATTTTTCCGATTTTTAGTTTGGTTAGAAACTTGTCTTGTAGTCTGGAAACAAACGCAGCACTTAGCAGCAATAAACAGTAATATTAATACTGTCTAGAGGTTGGAAGATTTCTTTTCCATAACAAGGTGCAGACAGAATACCAGTTCCAGTTTCTAGCAACGCTCTCCAACTCCTTCAGCCGACCCCTCATACTACGCAGGATCAGGGTCCGAACAGGAGACGTCTTGTCCGTTAAACCTCTCGTTAAAACACTGCATCAACCTGTTAACATTCACTTATTGCCTAGTCTGACTGGGAGGGGAGGAGGGGGGGAGGGGGGAGAGAAACGCTGATGTGAAGCATGTCGGGTGGAGGAAGAGGAGAGAGGGAGAAAAAGAGGGAGGGAGGGAGGGAGGTCTCTCGTTCTGCCTTGTTATGGAGGTTCTGGTTGAGAAGCGTGAAGCAGAGCGGTCCCTCGGCTCGCCGGCGCCCTCTATCTACAGCTGCTGCTGATGATGAGGCTGCACTGCAGGGACGACACACAAAGATGGAGTCAGGGATGGAGACATGGACAGAAACGATGACCCGATTCGGCCTGGTAGAACAATCCTCCACCTTTCAGAACCACGCCCGTCTCATAATGGAGACTGGAAAAAGTATTTACACCCATGGGAATGTTTACAGTTAGTGATGAACCAACATAAGTAGAGCATACAGTCAAGCTGGATGAAAGAATCTGATCATCTTGAACAACCCATATGGTCTGAACTTTGACTAGGCCTTTCCAACACATGAAAACCATGGAGCAACAGTGTTCAGTGAGGCCTTTTGAGATTTGTTGTAGGTTTGTTGTAAATAATTGTTAGTAATCGAGTAATCAATCACTTTGACGATTGAGTGAGTAAACGTATGAAAAAAAAATGTCCTGTCCCATAGGAGCTACTTAAGATGGTAAATATGTAAAAAAGAAAATGTTAGAGAAAAAAAAATAACTTTGTTTTTTACAATCAACAATTTTAGTCTCAAGTTTGAAGTATTGAAAAAAAATTGGGGTGTACAAACATAAGAAATGAAACATTTCACATTTTCAAGACAAGTACATTCTTGACTAAATAGCATTATTATGTAAAACATGACTTTAATGACAGACAATGTCTTGTTCTTACTATATGTACATTACTGCATATATTTCTGTATTAGTGGGATGTATATATTTTTTATCTACTTTGCATGGCTGAAAATAAAGCAAAAACTAACTAAGTACTAATTAATTACTCCTCACTTTTATTCTTAAGTTTTGAAGTATAAAAAAGCATTTATTGAAATAGATATTTCTAATCTATTTTAAGTATCACAGTAAAAAGAAAAAAATGTAAAGAACATGTTTGTTTCCCTTCACAATCAAGCTTACCTATTGGTCTATCATCCAGAATTCTAATAAATCTGAACACTTCAAGCCACAGAAGCTAAAAAGCAATTGTAGGATTTTACTATGCAACACAAAGCTGCACCACATGATTTATAACGGCTGTGGAAATTCATTAAAGCAGATCAGGTTGCTTTACTGGCCCGTCTCTCTTTCCACTAGAGCGTCTCGTATTATCTGAACTCTCTAAGGAGGCCAAGAAATGTTTCTGAAACAAATCTGAAGGAGGAGTCTGGAGAAACTTCAAGAATTTAAAAAACAGGTTTCATTCGTCACCTTGGCAGCTTTATCACAACCACCCAGGCCTTCGTTTTGAGAAGATGCCAAAAAAAATGACGATAAAAACATCTGACATCTGAAGGCAGATGCTGCTGACATTATAAAGGAAACATCAACCCTGTTAGCAGGTTGATGAGTTTACCTTGAGCATGTGCCAAGTAGGAGAAATGTGTAGTAGAGGACACCGGGATGGGGTTCAGAGCCGTCTGGGGCATCGGTGGCTGGGGACCCCCTGGACCCTGTGTGGCCATCAGCATCATTGGAGGGTGGGTGGAGGCCGGATGGTGAGATGGCACAATGCCGGACTGCATATGGGCCTGAGGTGAAGAGCGAGAGGGAGAGAGAGGACAATGAGGGGAGCGACAGCTGAAGCTTCAGGACGGCAGCGATTGGAGCTGCTGCCTTCTGGAAGCAGAGAGGTGACCACAATCAATAGGAAATATATGATCGGTCGACGAAAAACAATTTAATTACAGCTAACAGAGAGCAGAATGAAGCCACCATTTATAAACCTGGCTGGAGTGAAGTTATGCTGCACAATGTCAATTGGGTTTTTATTACAGCCAGCTCAAAGCCTCAAGGGAACAAACACTCAGCTGAAAGAGAGAGCGTAAAATAAATAAACAGAAAAAGAGAGAGCAAGAAGAGGAGAAGTAAAGAGTGAGGAAGAGAAAGAGAGCAAGAGCAAAAGAAAGAAAAGGACAAAGAGAAAAATGGTGAGAAAGAGTGAGAAAGAGAAATAAAAAATAGCAAAAGAAAGAGAAAAAGAGAGACAGAAAAGGAAGAAAGATGGGAGACAGAAAAGGAGAAGAGGAAAAACGACAGGAAAAGTGAAGTGACAGCTAAAGGAGGCAACCAGCTGATGCATGAGGGAGGAACACTTGTTAGTTTGTCAGAGAAACATAAAAAACATCATCCAATAAGGTTTCCTGCAGAATCAGCACCAAATCCACCAGAAGCTTGAAAAGCTCCCGGTTCTGACCCGGCGACCCACCTGCTGCATGTGGGCCATGTGGTTGGGGTTGTAGCCATGCTGCACCTGCTGAGGGTGGATGTAGACGGT